ATGGGCGCGCGGCGCTGCCGGCCTGGGGACTTCCGGCGTCCTCAGGCCCGCGGGGCAAAGGACGTGGCCACGTACCGGGGCCCCGATGGGGAGACGGCCTGGGGGGCCTGGTGGGAGCGCGGGCGGGCGGTGGACTCACCGCTCCCGCGTAGTGAGAGCTCGTCAGGCACCTGGCACGAGTATAAGAAACACCCGCTCGCCTGCTGGTCGGGAAACAAGCGTTGGTTTCGATAACTCCTCAGTGGTGCGGTTGGGCCCCGCTCCTCACCGGGTGCGACCCAGGGAGACCGAGGCCTGCTCCAGATCCGAGAGGAGCCGGCAGCAGACTCTGCAGCTGGGGTATTGCGCTCCTTGCCCTACACCTTGGGGAGAGCCACGCCCACAGGGCCAGGGACCTTGGTCAGGCCAAGATTAGGAGGGTTGGGAGAAAACTGGTTTTGAAGAATGGACAACGGATATTCAGGACTCCTGAGTTCGTCCCCTAGCCAGTCTGCGGTGGGTTCCTCCTTACCTACTCCAAAACGAGGAACCTCTGACATCTTTTGAAATAAACTTCAAAGAGGTGACTCAGGGAAGCCGACCCCAAGGGGAAATCCCTGCACCAGCCGCAGGCACACCCACCTGGGTGGCCGCGGAGCCTCCTCCGAATGGGTACCTCTGAGCATCTGAAGGCTCCTGGGGCCCAGGCCAGCTTTGACTGAGTCCCAGGAATTCTGGCTTCTTTGCAAGCCTATGAACGGGGCTTAAAGCCACGTTTTGCTGGGAAGGGCAGGCTTGGGTTCTGCAGGCAGCCTTTGTTCAAGCCCTGCCAGCTTGAGTCCTCAACAGCTTCTGGGCCTGCTCCCTGCCCTGGGCCGCCCCAGGCTCAGTCCTCCTAAGGACCCTTCAGGGGTCCCTCCCATCCGCACAGTCCTTACCCCACGCGGGTGACTCCTGTGCTTCTGACCTAACGCCCTACCTCAGTCCCTGCATCCTTCAAGTCCTCCTGGACAGCTCTGTGATCTTCCTCCCAGTCTGACTTAGGAAAAAGCAGTCCTGTCACAGCATATTCCAGCTCTGCCATCCAAGGTCTTGGTCAGCTGGCCCTAGTTCATCCATGGGGTTTTTCTCCTGCGAATCAAGCCACTCCATTTGATTCCAAGCACTGGGTGTCTTCCCCAGAAGCCCTCCATTCTCAGGCCCGTGTCTTTGCTCCTGCTGGTCCTTCTTCTGGGGCCTGTCTCTCCTGAACTTGGCTTCCTGTCTCTCCTGTCCTTGGTGGTCATTACAGTCTGTTCACTTAACCCATGGCTTGCCCACACATTGCTTCACACACCTGAACAGTCTCCTTTGAAGTTCAGGGCCTATTTCAGTTGCCTGCTCCACAGCTTCTACCATTCACTCCTCCTTGGAAATTAATGTGGTTTCTCATCTAAGAACTCGTGGTTGTCTTCATTTCAGGATAAGTCTCAAATGTTATCTCTTCGAACACTGCTTCTCTCCCATTCTATCTAGTCTCTATTATATTTTAAGCCCATATTAGACATATCTTGGTACATTCTGTTGTCTGTATTTCTTTACCGTTCTTTAATAATTTTTTTCTTTGCCATTCTGCTTCTGGGTGATTTCCAAATCACTAATTCTCTATTCAGCTGGGTCTGCAGTACTGTTGAGTCATTTGTTGTTGTTTTATTTTGATGGTTTGTCTTTATAATTTGACTTTTATTTCATATCTACCTGCTTTTTTTCCCCAGTGTATTTTTGATTTGTGGATTCTATTCCTTTATCTCTGTGAACATCTCTGTAAATATCAGTTAAAAATCGTTTTAAAGTCTTTTAGATTTTGCTATAATGGCTAGTTTTTCAAGCCTGCAGTTTTCCCATTTGTTGTATTTGCTGATTGTCTTGTCTGGCAATGGATTGCTTCTTGTTTTGCAACTTTTAATCTTGGAGCTGGCTGAGGTGGGGGTGTGGGAAGTCCCTCTTTTGTAAGAGATTCGCACACATACCTTTGCTGGCTGGTGGAGACATCTTTATAAACCATTTTTAAAAAGTCGCCTCTGCCTGGTCCTTATAGGATTCACTTATCTGGATTAGTTTTAATGACAGATCCAGATTATGACGGATTCTTAGGTCGGGGGGGTTGTTCTTTCAGGGTAATGTAGGCAGATATAGGTCCCAAGTTGCAATGGACAGGGGAGCTGATTTTTTAGGTTTCTTCTGCCTTTGCTGTCTTGTCACACCTATTCAAATGGTGTCCTTTCGGGGCTGGGGTACAGCTCAGCAGTAGAGCGCATGTTTAGCCTGCACAAGGTCCTGGCTCAATCCCCAGCACCTCCATTAAAAAATAAACCTAATTACCCCCCAAATGGTGTCTTTTCTCATTTCCTTTTGGTTTCTGTTCACATGTCATTTTCAGAGGCTCTGCTCATCCCCGTTCTCTTTATTTCTCTCCGTAACACTGAACATCACCTGACTTATATATGTGTATGTATATATTTTTTTCTCATCTGTTTCCTTTAATTAGAATGTAAGTTCTGTAAGACTAAAATTTGGCTGGGGAGGGGCAGTGTGGATCTTTTATTCTCAGTTAACCCCTAGCGCCCAGAACGGTGCCAGATGCATAGTAAGTATCGGTAAACATTTGCTAAATGTGTGAAGTGCCTGGAACCTTGCTTCCTGCTGGTATTCGAGGAAGGAGAGTGGAGGCTCTCCAGCCCCAGCTCACCCATGGTGTGGCACTCCCTGCCCCAGCCTCACTCTGGTTCCCCAGCACGCACGTGGCCGGCCGCCTTCGCTGCAGACCCTGCTCAGGCACTCCACCTACCCACCCTGAGATGTGTGTTTTGAGGACTCTTGGGATCACAGCTGCCCACCACTTTGCCCGTGGTTATCACTTTGCTCTGGCACCTGGCAGTGTCCTTTTCTTGCTTTTGAATGTGACTGTATATTCAAACATCTTAAACATTACTTTCTCGAACACTGGCGAGTTTGAAGTGGAAAGGGTTGCTGTGTCTGCCCTGTCTCCTGTCCCGGTGAGACAAACCCCTTGTCTGTCTTGTTCACAGCGATGCCACCAGCACCCAGGACGATCCTTGGCACGGAGGAGGCAGTCGGTTAATACTTGTTGAACAGCGAATTCCCACGTTATAGATGAGAAAGCAGAGGTCAAGGGAGAAAGGGATCACTGAAAGCCCCCAGTCCCTGGGCATCATTCAGCACGTGGATCATCTTTCCGCAGGAATCTGGTCGGCAGCCCTGAACGGAGACCTGGGCCGAGTGAAGTACTTAATCCAGAAAGCGGCGGACCCCAGTCAGCCTGACTCGGCTGGCTACACGGCTCTGGTGAGCTGGGGGGAGGCCGGTGAGGAAGGGAGAAGCCTCAGTCGGGAGAGGGGGATCCTACTCTCTGGAGGGGCTGAGGTTTGCCTTTTCTCCTTCCCTTTCTTCTCTCCCAGCAGGGGTTCTGTGTAAGCATCACTGAACCTGGGTTTTTTAAATTAGTTTAAGTGCTTTGCATCAATTATTTAACATCATAACCATGCTGTGAGGTAGGAATGGTTATTATCCCCATTTTCCAGTTGAGGAAACAGGCTAGAAGTGAAGACGCTTGCCCGCTCACCCAGCTTCCGGAGGGGGCACCTGAGATGAGCCCAGCCCCTCCTCCAGTGCCCTGACCGCCCGGGTTCTGCTCCCTGACCCCATCTCTGTCCCCTGCAGCACTACGCCAGCCGCAACGGGCACTATGCTGTGTGTCAGTTCCTGCTGGAAAGCGGGGCCAAGTGCAATGCCCAGACCCACGGGGGTGCCACTGCCCTGCACCGGGCCAGCTACTGTGGGCACACCGACATCGCCCGGCTGCTGCTGTCGCACGGGTCCAACCCCAGGCTGGTGGACGATGACGGCATGACCAGCCTGCATAAGGTAAGCCCCCTCAAAAGTTTTGCAGGTTGCAAACACTTGTTCTCTGTCATTAGCAAAGTTATAACGTGTTCACTGCAGAAAACACGGGCAAAACGGGAAGAAAAAAGCACAAGGTAGAAAATTGAAATCATTTGTAATCTCAGTGCTTGCCTGTCATCACTTTAGGGTTAACGTGTAATTTTCCAGCATGTTTCCCTTGCACGTAAATTAGAACTAAACGTATGGTGTGATTTTCTTTTTCTTCCCCTCAGTGACGTGTCCTGAATTTTTTCCATGTAGTTAGTTTTCTGGAACTTGCACCTGCTCTTGCTTTTCCCTCTGGTCCACTTTCCACGCTGTGGCCAGAGCGATCATTTAATTAAACATGTTCTGACTAGAAACACCTGCATGCAGTGAACAGTTTGAGGAGCACACCGTGTCCACCCTGGATGCGAGGTTCCCTCCCACCCCGTCCCTGCTCAGTCTTCTTGGTCCCCTCCCTTCGGATGTCCGCTTTCACCGGTGCCGTCCCATCTTTGAGAAGTAGTTTATGCATGTTTGTGGTGTATGTGTGTACACCTGTTCCTCTCCCGCCCCTCCCTGATTTTCTCCCAGAGTGATGGTTTAAGCAGCAGTTTTGACCGTGCCATGCCTTAGAATCCCTCGGAGGCTGGCTTTTACCAAGTCTGTAAGCCGGTTTATAGGCCTTCTCGGGTTAGCCCCTGCCTGCCTGCCTGTCCTGGGCTCCCGTCCCCTTGCCCCTTACTCAGGCCCTGTTAGTCATCTTCAGTGTCTCGAACCTACTTCTGTGTCCCCCCCGGGCTATAGACAACCAGCTCCTCCCATCTGGACGTCTCTCCTGCCCCCGTTCCCCTCTGGCTCTTGCCTGTCCTTCCTTCTGGATCTCAGCTTCTACATCTCACCCACCTGGATCCCCAGAAGCACCTTGTACTTGACTTTTCCCAACTCTTCCCGCCTTGAAATTCCCTGTGCAGGTGGCTGAGAGAGGGGTCCTGTTTACTGGTGGAGCCCCAGCACTGAGCTCAGATGCTCAGTGCATATGTGCTGAGTGAGCAGCTGAGTGTTGTTTTGTTTTAAGACCCTCGCCGGCTGGAGAGGCAGATTGCTTGTTTCTTGGTGGTCTAAACTGGTGTTGCTTGAGTGTCTTACTGCGATAGCTCACCTGGCGGGGGCTCACAGGCAGGACATCGCCGTGGACGGACCCTGCTGGTGTTACCCACGGCTGGCAGCCTTCTCAGGAAATTCAGGGGACCCTGTGTATGAAGGCTGTGGGTCGCCCCTCCCTTTCAGCCTGCCTGCCTGCCTGCCTGCCTGCCTGCCTTCCTCCCTTCCGCCCTTCCTTCCTACTGCAAACACTGGCACTTTTTTTTTTCAAGTAGACTTTATTTTTTTAGAGCAATTTCAGGTTCATAGCACAAATGAGCAGAAAACAGTTCGCACATAGCTCTCCCCACCCACACACATATGCTCCCCTACCCTCAACATTCCTCATCGGTGTGGCGTATTTGGTACAGTCGATGAATCAACATGGACACGTTATTATCAACCAAAGTCCATAGTTTACATTAGGGTTCACTCTTGATGTTGTACATTCTATGGGTTTTGACAAATACATAATGACATGTAGCCACCACTATAGTGTCATACAGGATAATTTCATTGCCCTAAAAATCCCTTGTGCTCCATCTATTCATTCCTCCTTCCCTCTCCCCAAACCCCTGGAAACCACTATATTTTTATTGTTTCTATAGCTGTGACTGGCACTTTTTTTTGCCAAAAATTATTTGGAATTCACCTCCTAGCTGCTCACAATTACCATCGCCTGAATTGAGGCAATAAAATTAAGAGCCCTACATCTGTTCTCATCATGATGATCTGCTGAATATTTAGATTCAAATTTGAGACAGTATTTGCTACTAAGGTTAATTTTGAGACCTTTCAGAAGCTCCTGTAGCCCACCAATTTGTCTGTTGGGAGGAGTAGGGAATATAGTGACACAGTTATCAAGAGTTGGGATTTTAAGGTCAGACAGACCTGGCTTAGAATCCCCCGGGCTGCCACACCAGCCCTGTGACCTTGGGCAAGTTACTCAACTTTTATAAGCCTCAGTTTCTTCATCTGTAAAATGAGAGTGATGATGGTCCCTACCTCCAGTGGTTCTTCTGAAAGTTAAATAAGATAATCTGCGTAAATCACTAAGCCTGTTCTTTTTTGGAGGACGTAGATTAGCAATCGACATCCTGATTGGGATCCTTTATCTCAAAGGGGAAGAGGTGAAAGCTGGGAACCTGGGCTTCTTTTTCTCTGCTCATTGGGAAGTCCTGGAGGGCAGGGCCATTCTGATGTGTCTTGTGCCCACGGGGCCCAGCACCTGTAGACAATCTGAATGTTTGTAAAGATGCTTAAGATCCAAGGTTCTGTACTGTTGTTTAATGCGCAGGTCTGGGCAGAGAAGCCTGGCCCCCTGAGCAAAGGACAAGCCAACTGCCAGAGCAGCACTGGGGTGCCCCCTACTCCACACGCATGGCATTGGGATTTGGCAGGAATTGGGGGAAATCTGCTCAGACAGCCAGCGCCTCCATTTCCATGAGACCTTTTTTAGGACCAAAAGAGCTCCAGGAATGGAGCAAGAAAGAACAGGACCCAGCGGGGTGTGGCTTTTGATCCGGGCCCCTCTCTCCACAGGCTGCCGAGAAGGGTCACACGGACATTTGCTCCCTCCTGTTGCAACACAGCCCAGCCCTGAAGGCCGTCCGGGATCGGAAGGCACGACTAGCCTGTGACCTGCTGCCCTGCAACAGTGATCTGAGGGACTTGCTGGCCAGCTGAACTGCCACCTGCAGTCTCAGGCTGCAGGCGAGGGGACACAGACCAGCTCTCCCAGCCCTCGCCCTGGTCAGCATCTGTGTGCAGGGCAGGGAGCCGAGGCCGGAAGACCCAGGAGGAGCCCCCGTTCTGGCCCCTGAGGGAGTGAGGGAGGAGGCTTGGTGGGGCAGCAAGTGCTTCAGCCTGGCCAGATGCTCGTAGTCTAAATTAGCTCATGTGGAGACATCTATCCGTTTGGAAAAAATAAAATGATATCCTTACCTTATCCCACACACAAGGATAAATTTCAAGTAGTTTAAAGACCTGAATATAAAAACAGAAAAACATGTAAGCATTAGAAGAAACTGGAATATGTGACAAATGAAAAGCTCTGTCTAGCCGAGTGACCTTGGTCCAAGTCACTTTCCCTCTCTGTCCCGTGTCCTCATCTCTGAGAGGAGGGGCTGCCACGAGACCATGCAGGGGTGAGATGAGTGAGGCTGTGGAGAGCACTGGAGACAGTGCCGGGCACTTTGCAGACAGTGTATAAGAGCACCCACTTCCCCCAAACCTCATCAGTGCTCACGTTTCTCCATAATTTCATTAATTTTAACAATCTGATAGCTATTGCTTTGTTCTGTTTTGCATTGCTACTTGCTAGTAAGGCTGAACACCTGTCTTCTGTGAACTTCTTGGCCCATTTAAAACTTTTTTCTTTTTTGATTTGTAGGAGTTGTTTATATATTCTGGATATTGATCCTTTGTTTTTATGTATGTGTATATATATATATATACATACATATATATATATGTAGTTTTTTTCTTTCTTCTTTCATATTGTCCCTTGTCTTAACTTTGTTGTTATCTGTTCATGGAAGTTGGTACAGCCACTGTGGATGGCAGTTTGGCAATATCTATTAAATTTTAAGTGAGCAGGGCCAATAATTTGATTTCTCCGTAGCTACCTAGAGAAGCATTCATCCGTGTTTACAAAGATGCTTATTTACAGAGACATTTACAGAGACGTGCATTGGAGCAGGAGATGTAATGTTAAAAAAAAAAAAATGCAGATAACCAAAGTGCTCCCAGGACGGGGATGGTGAGGTTCTGGAACATGAGTGCAAGGCCCCGGAGTTCAGCATGTACAGATGTGGAAAGTGCTAAGTCCCAGTCCCAGTGATGTGTGTCTGGAAACACAGAGGTCCGTGCGCACAGCACGCGCGGAGAACATCGGGGGTCCACCTGTAAACCGGTGCCCGTGGCTCCCCTGGAGTTCTGGTGAGAGCAGTTAGCCAAGGGCTCTCGGGCTTGATTTGCTGTGTTTGGATTTTTTACAAGAAGTGATTTTTTTCCTTTGACAAGTAACACCAATAATAAGTGAATGCCAGTCGGTTTCACATGGATACCAATAGTTTTCTGCTGAGGGTGTCAGATGCAGCATGTTGGTCCACAGCGCCCCGTCCCCAGGGTTGAAGGCGGAGTCTCGGTGGTGGTGACGGTGGCATCTGAGCTGAAGCCCTGCTTTGTCTTGTCTGTTGCCAGTCACTGTCCTCTAGGTAACACTTTCCCTCCTCAGGACTAAAGGCAAGAAGTCACCTTTGACAATAACACCCTGGAGCATAAGGACAGTTTCTTGAAAAGGCTCTGGGCCCCCCAAGTCTCAAGACTTGGAAGCACGGGCCAAGAAGCTGGCACTTGGTGAGGCTGTCGCCTCCCTCGGGCCGCCCTTGACCGCGGTTCTCCTCCCGCCTGTTCTGGGCATCTCTGTGCCTCCTGTTCTGATTCTGGAGTCTTGTTCACTAGCTATCAGATTTCCTCTCAAAGGTCAAGGCAGGGTTCAAGGTACAGCTGGGTGGAAGGCAAGCTGGATGTTTCAGGGAGAATTAGGGGGTTGGTAGCTGGAGACAGATGGCTTTGCTAATGGGTTGATGGTTAACGTTCGTATTTGGACCTGGAGCAGGTCTGAACCTCACCTTCCTGGGGAAGGTCTTCTCTGTGCCCAGCAGAGCGTCTGGTGGGGGACCTGCATGTGGGCTGTGGGAGACCCTCCAGGAGGCCTGAGGTGCTGATGACAGGCTGGGCCTGGCTCCCGATGGTGGCCCCACATGGTATGTTGACTTGAGTGGTGAGGGAGTGCGGGGGTGTCTGGGGGAGAACACCGCCAGGAGTAGTGAGGGTGGCCTGGAAACTGGCCGGGAGGTGGAGAATCACTTGATTTCCTCACATAGGTGCCCGGAATCTTCCTGAGGCCAAGGTCAGCCTCTTGGGCCTGCCCTTCAGCGGTCCTCTTTAGGAGTCTGGCCTCCTGCAAGGGCAGTCAGGCTGGGTCTTCCAGGGTCTCAAGCAGCCACATGGAGGCTCCCGCTGGACTCTATCTCAAGGGCTTCTAGACTTTGGAGAGTGGGAGCTGTTTTCCCCTAAGCCTGGGCTGATGGCCCAGTACCCAGGGTATATGTTTATTGGTTGAATCACTTCTGAGTAGGTGCAGGATGGTGGGTGTCTGGGGCTGCAACTGACTCAGCTCAAAACAGCTCCTCCTCCAGCCTGCAGTGGGCTGCATGCCCACTCAGTTATTTTGGTTGGTGTTACAGAGCCACAGAGTTATCTGGCGGGGGCACAGTCCTCTGCCCTGCCCAGCCCCCAGTGATAGCTGTCCTATAAAAGGGCTGAGCTGCTCCACTCCCCTCACTGGGGGTGTGAGGAGCAGGGGGGACCATGGACTTCGTCAGCATCCAGCAGTTGGTAAGGATGTGAGGCAGAGGGGCGGAGGTCGGGCAATGGTGTGTGCGCCCCAGACCATCTCAGCAGAATGAGGAGGTCGGGCAGCTTTTTGTGACCTGAGGGGCAGGTTTTAGGAACAGAAACTTGCAGCTCTTTTCTGGTCTGTTGGCTCAGCTCTCACATGAGGTGGTGAGGGTAGGAAACAAGAGGGAAGCAGTGAGAAAGATGTTGGACATGAGGTGGTGAGGGTAGGAAACAAGAGGGAAGCAGTGAGAAAGATGTTGGATGATGGGAGATGAGAAAATCCCTGAGCTCAGTGGGTTTTGCCCTGGACCATGATGCCAAAAGAGGAACGGGAAGTGGCAAGTTGCCCTGGAAGACACGAGGGCCTGGGGTGCTAGTTTGGCTCTGCTGTGATGACGTTTGTTGCTCTGGAAGTGGTCTGGAGGGGCTGGCTGCCCTGGCTGGAACGGGGAGATGGGCGCTTGAGTTCCCTGGGCAGTGAAAGAAACAGGGACAGCAGCAGCACTTCGGGATGTCTGTTATGGGGAGGCAGGGCTCAGGGTCGTGAGGCCCAGGATGTCGCATCACCCAGCAAGCCCCATTGTGGGCCAGGGGCCCCCAGGCCCCAGCCCAGGACAGCCCCTGCTGGGAGGTGGGTTGCAGGGCCCAAGAAGTGTTAGGTTGCCTGAGTTTGCCTTAGAAGGGAATGCCTGGTAGCCCTAGGCTGTGCCATTCTGTCACTCCAACATTTCCTCTCCCCGCAACGTGCTCATTCCTCAGCGCTCCCCTGAACTGCTGGGGGTGGGGGCCAGGGGAGGAGGAAAAGGATGGATCGCTGTGTAGTGGGGTCTGCCCTAAACACAAGTCCCAGTAACTCATCTCCAGCGCACAGCTTCGAGAGGTAAGCACCAGCATCACCCCATTTTATAACGAAGAATCATAGCTTCATGCAGAGCCAAGATTTGAACCCAGGAATGCAGAATTTTACCCAGAGGCCTCTGCTCTGTCCCTCTGAGCTTGGGGTCAGGTGGCAGGGTGGCGTGATCTGGTAGGAATGTAAGGATCAGCACCCATGAGGGAAGCCGACGCGTCCTCTGCCCTGAGCTCACCTGGACGCGACCCAGCAGTATAAATAGATGTGGCGTCAGGCCCTCCGGAGGGCTCCTGCTGACAGGACAGAGTGGGCCCCATCAGCCGCCCTCCTGGGCCTCGGGGGACGCTGCAGGTGGTGAGAGCCAGCCCAAGCATGGGAGCGGCTAGTGCTCGGGCTGCCTGAGAGCTTTGAGAGGGGTCAGGCCAGCTCTCAGATCCAGCCCCAGCCCTAGCACACTAATCTGTGTATGTCAGCTCCTGGCAGGATCCCGGTTCTGCACAGCTATGTGTTCTAAGGGAAACTCCTCATTTTTCCGATCCTTTATCCTCATCCTGTTCCTATAGGTAAGTGATGAGAGAGTTGAAAGGAAAGGATTGGGATGTGGACACGGAGTTCTGGATCCTGGAGGCGGGCCTCGAAACTGGAGGCTGGGGCCCCAGGAGGTCGAGGCCCAGGAGAGGCAGAAACTGGAGGAGGAGAAGAGGAAGAGAGTGAGTGATGGTGTGGAGGGGAGCTGGGTGGCTGAGCAGGGTGTCGGGTGTGCGGGGGCTGCCAGGAGCCAGGGTTTAGGGTCCAAGAGCCTGAGCACTGCGCTTCTGATGAGAGTGAGAGCTGCCCCTTCGCTGGGCTCCTGTCGCCGCTGCTGTGGCTGATGGCTGGCATCGTCCTGTTTCTGCCCACTTTCTGCCCCAGCTTGAAAGATTTAACAGTTCCAGAACTAACTTGGAGAACCTGGCTGACTTGGAGAACTTGGTTCAAAGACGGAGAGAGAAGCGACTGAAACGCAAAGTCCCCCCTAGGGCACCTGAGCCTGAGGTCAAGGTGAGCGGGAAGGCAGGGTGGGCGGGGGTGGACACACCAGGGCTGGGGTTCATCCCCGTGGGAGGTCTGGGGAGGAGCGACACCTGGGCCACGGGACACAGCTGCTGCCCGGAGCACCCCCGTGCTCGTTTGCTGGGGCTGCTGCCAGACCAAGTACCAGGCTAGGGTCTTAAACAACAGCTGTTTTCCAGTCTTACAGAAATTTCTTGTCTCTGAGGCTGGAAGTCCGAGATTGAAGTGTGGGCAGGGCTGGTTTCTTCTGAGGCTCTAGAGGGATCTGCCCACTGTCCCTCAGCTCCCAAGGTCGTGACACCTTTGGTGTTGCTTGGCTTGTGGATGTGTCACCCCTGTCTCTGCCTCTGCGTTCACGTGGCCGCCTCCTCGTGTGCGTGCCTGCATCCAAATGTCGCCTTTCCATCAGGACACCAGTCTTGTTGGACTGGGGCCCACCTCACTCCAGGATGACCTTATCTTAACCAATTACAGCTGCCATGACCCTATTTCTAAATAAGGTCACATTCGGAGGTCCTGCGGTTAGGACTTAAACATATGAACTAGGGGAGGACGCCGTCACCCCGTAACACCCGTCCCATGCCTATTCAGGCATGATCTTCTGGGGTGGGACTTGTACCAGCCAACAGCGCGCAGGTCCTCAGCCAGCTCCTTGGAGCCGCCCGGCTGGACTGGTGGGGCTGTGCTGCCCGAGGCCTACGGTGGGGGGACTGAGTCAGTCTTGTCCTTCAACTTAACCAGCCGCAGCCCCAGGCCCAGTTGGAGCCCGTGGACCTGGAGGTGTTTCTAAAGGCAGCTGCTGAGAACCAGGAGGCCCTGATTGACAAGTACCTGACAGACGGAGGGGACCCCAATGCTCACGACAAGGTAGCGCAAGTAGGGTGCAGACGTGCAGTCTCCAGCAGGTTATAGTCCCGGCTTATGAAACCGCAGGGCTTTTCTGTTTTATGGGGCACGAGTCCTGTGTTGCCTCAGGAGGCGGGGCCCCTCACACAATGGGGAGGCGGGCAACTCTGTTCAGGGAGCCCAGTGCCAGGCACAGGGTTGGGAGTGGGACCCCCAGGGGTGGCCGAGCTCCCCGCGCCTGACCTCCCGTCTCCATTCACCCCAGCTCCACCGCACGGCCTTGCACTGGGCCTGTCTGAAGGGTCACAGCCAGCTAGTCAACAAGCTGTTGGAGGCGGGTGCCACCGTGGACGCTCGGGACTTGGTGAGACCCGGGGAAGACCCATCCCCACAGCAGACACCCTGCCTGGCATCCCCACACGTCAGAATTGCTGTGGTGGTTTTGTCTCACAGCTGGACAGGACCCCCGTGTTCTGGGCCTGCCGCAGAGGGCACCTGGACATCCTCAAACACCTGCTTAACCGGGGCGCCCGGGTCAACGCCCGGGACAAGGTGAGGGGCACACACCCAGGGGTGGTCTGGGAGGGA